GATTCACTTCCTGCTGACACGAGGTTTATCCCGTAGTTGAGTCTCGGTGAGATGATCCGTTAAAGTTCTGGTTCCGTCTCTCAGGGGTCTGTTCATCATCGATCCGAACGGTGTGGTGAAACACATGAGCGTGAACGACCTGCCGGTGGGCCGCAGCGTGGAGGAGACGCTGCGCCTGGTGAAGGCCTTCCAGTTCGTGGAGACGCACGGAGAGGTCTGCCCGGCCAGCTGGACCCCCGAGTCCCCGACGGTGAGTACCTCCAGAACCCGACTGGAACAGGAAATCAGACCTGGTTTTGTTCAGTAATAATCCCTGTGTGGATCATTCTTTCAAAATAAAATCACAAAAAGAAAACTTTTGTTTGGTCAATTCTCTCGTCTGTTTGCTTTTCAGATCAAACCGACTCCGGACGGATCCAAGGAGTACTTCCAAAAAGTCAACTGAAAACACCGAGCCGAAATACAGCTCGTACCAAACTGAACTTTAGTTTGTAGAGATTCACTGAGATTTAATAAATTTATCAAAGATTTGTTTTGTTTGAGCTTTTCTTTTAAATCTGATGTTTCAGAGGACTTTAGCAAAAGTTCTGATTGAACACCAGCTAGAAGCTAACAGCAGCAGAACACCAGCTAGAAGCTAACAGCAGCAGAACACCAGCTAGAAGCTAACAGCAGCAGAACACCAGCTAGAAGCTAACAGCAGCAGAACACCAGCTAGAAGCTAACAGTAGCAGAACACAGCTTGACGCTAACAGTAGCAGAACACCAGCTAGAGGCTAACAGTAGCAGAACACCAGCTAGAGGCTAACAGTAGCAGAACACAGCTAGAGGCTAACAGTAGCAGAACACAGCTAGAGGCTAACAGTAGCAGAACACCAGCTAGAAGCTAACAGTAGAACACCAGCTAGAAGCTAACGGTAGCAGAACACCAGCTAGAAGCTAACAGTAGCAGAACACAGCTAGAAGCTAACAGTAGCAGAACACCAGCTTGACGCCAACAGTAGCAGAACACAGCTAGAAGCTAACAGTAACACCAGCTAGAAGCTAACAGTAGCAGAACACCAGCTAGAAGCTAACAGTAGCAGAACACAGCTAGAAGCTAACAGTAGCAGAACACAGCTAGAAGCTAACAGTAGCAGAACACA